GGGCTCAGGTGGGCACCGGGCACGGTGACCTCACCTGGGCACACCTGGGCACAGGTACGGCCTCACCTGGGCACAGGGAACCTTGTCTGGACAGGGAAGGGGGCTCAGGTGGGCACCGGGCATGGTAACCTCACCTGGGCACAGGTAACCTCACCTGGGCTCACCTGGGCACAGGGAGCTCACCCGGGCACAGGTAACCTCACCTGGGCACAGGGAACCTTGTCTGGACAGGTAAGGGGGCTCAGGTGGGCACCGGGCACGGTAACCTCACCTGGGCACAGGTAACCTCACCTGGGCTCACCTGGGGCACAGGTAACTCACCTGGGCTCACCTGGGCACAGGGAGCTCACCCGGGCACAGGGAGCTCACCTGGGCACAGGTGACCCCTCTCACCTGGACCAGTCCCCCCAGCCCCTGGCACAGCTCTTTGTCCCCAAGGACACAGGTGCCACCCCGACAGGTGTGCCAGGTTTGACAGATGTGCCAGGTGCCACAGGTATGACAGGTGTGCCAGGTGCCACAGGTGTGCCAGGTATGACAGGTGTGCCAGGCATGCCAGGTGCCACAGGTATGACAGGTGTGCCAGGTGCCACAGGTGTGCCAGGTGCCACAGGTGTGACAGATACCTTGAGTGCCACCCCCCAGAGATGTCCCAGGTGGCATCCGTGCCAGGTGTGCCCTGCCAGGTGTGCTGGTGCCAGCCCCACAGGTGTGCCAGGTACCACAGGTGTGACCGGTGCCACCCCCCACAGGTGTGCCAGGTGTCACAGGTGTGACCGGTGCCACAGGTGTGCCAGGTGTCACAGGTGTGCCAGGTGCCACCCCCCACAGGTGTGCCAGGTGTCACAGGTGTGCCAGTGCCACCCCCCACAGGTGTGCCAGGTGTCACAGGTGTGACGGTGCCACCCCCCACAGGTGTGCCAGATGTCACAGGTGTGCCAGTGCCACCCCCCACAGGTGTGCCAGGTGTCACAGGTGTGACTGGTGCCACCCCCACAGGTGTGCCAGGTGTCACAGGTGTGCCAGGTGTCACAGGTGTGCCAGTGCCAC